ATGTTTGGTTCAATCCGTACTCTTGAACATTGACTAAGAAAAAAAAAGAAAAACTTATATAATATAAAGAATCGAGTCGTCAATTTGAAATTTCAAGAAACTGAGAGACAAATATAAGATAAAAACTCTTCTGACTAAACCGAATGCTTTAGATTTCTACTGTTCTGCTCTTCTTGTCGTTTACAAATTTCGTAGATGAGCCAAAATAAAAAACTTATTAAACAACTAGCTAAAATCGTTGTCCTTCAGAGAATATTTGATATATCATATCAATAAAATCTATTATAGATAAAAGATAATTTTAAAATACAATTAATCTATTTGTTTTTTTGTTACACTTGACTTTTTCTCTAGTCTGAAGAATGGAACAGAAAATAATTCTTTTTTGTATATTCTGAATGAGACAGAGTAAACAAATGTCTAGGAAGATCAATAAAAATAATTCAAATTAATTGAGAACTCAATGCAATTTATTATTTCATATTTCATACTTAAATCAATTGTAGGTGTTGTTGTTTGAGAATAAATGATCATATCTGAAGTAATATCTGATTGTCTCCTGACAGTATTTGATGATTTGAGAAGATCAGGTCGAGATCATGGCACTAATTGATCATGATTAGAATCATTCTTAAAAAGAACAGAAGTAAAAGATATATGCCCAGATAAAGCGCATTCGATGACATGAGAATATCTATTTTTACCTATTCTTATTTGTAGCAAGCATCTGCGTTATATTTTGAATATTCCATACGACGAACGAAGATGTTTTTAACCAAGTTAATTCAATTAACTTAATTCATATAAATCTACATTGGAGACAATTAGAAATAAATGGGTTTTCCTAAAATAAATTAAAATATATGAATTATTATTTTTATTTAGATTCGCTGGAAAGTTATATGAACTATAAGTATTCAATTATTTCAAACTTCTCTTTTTTATTTAGATTTATTTTAGTTAGCCCCATCTATAGTAAGAATTAATTTATCAAAATCGTCCTGATTTTTAATTCAGATATATTTTTTTCAAGGACACAATGAACGGTACAAGTATTAATCATTTATCTGAAACTATTTTTATCTTTTATTTAGACCAATTCGTACGGCACAACCAAAGTAATTAGTACGTTATTTTAAATAACCTGTTTTTTTTTGTAGTGAAAAAACTGTCGGCACGGTGTGAGTGTGGATCTCATTTCAGTCCAACTCATACTTCCCCATACCTACCCCGTTCAATAAATACTCAGGTCGACTCGAAGATAATATCTACATTAGATTGCATTGATATAAATCTTCTTCTTTCCTATAAACATGAGCCAATATATTTATTTATTCTTATTCGATGAACAAAGATACTCAATACATGGATTATAATCTGATACAGAACAATGGTCGCATAAGGCATTACCAAGTGTTCGTACATTAGAAGACATTTTTTTATTATATGTATAAAGATCAATATCTTTGTAGAACGTACGTATATTATATCAATCGGATATGTTCATTATGCGATGGAGGCCATTTTAAATGACTCTGAAAGATTCATAGAATAGAATATAATATAAAATTAGATGTCTTCTACTAAAAAGGATTGTCTCATCGCCAAATGCTGCATGTCAAATGGAAATTCAGAGATCAGTTTTCATTTGATCTACTTCTACTAGTGGCACTGTTCTTATAAACAGCAATGCACGACTAAAGAATCTTTCGCTACCTAACATTTTGCACTACACATTAGAATTGTTAGTATTCAATCATTTATTATTCATGATCATTTTAAATTTTTCTATATTTCAGTTACAATATATGATCAATATTCTTGAGCTAACATTGATTCGATATAAGTTGCTCAATAAGTATTTCAAAACGTCACTGAAAATATTATTACATTCCAAAGAATTCATGAATCAATGTTATACCATCAACTAATATCAGAATCAGAATTGTAACATGTAGCATACTTGTCAGTTGACAATTCACTGTCATTTTAATCTAAAACAAGTTAAATAAATCTTTACACGTTGAAGAAAACCATCTATTTTGCAGTTATGTAAATTACATTCAAATATCGAAAGAAAGTAAAGACGTCATCAACTTTGTTTAGTAATTTTTCTAATGTAATTATGGAGATGCCGTTTTCATTCCACAGAAAGTGTGCATATATTACCATCATTGTTTTTCTCAACATACATGCACTTTGTTTTTAAAGTAATGCACTTTTTTTAAAGCAATGCACTTTTTTTAGCAATGCACTTTTTCTTATTGTAATTACATCAAACCTAGATCTCTCTATAAACTGTCTGTTTCTATCGTTTCTTCTAAAAAATAATCAAAAAGATTGTCCAACTAACTTCGTCTTGTGCTTCATGCATTATATATATCACAGCATCATATAAATGAAGAAAAAGAAAAGAAAAGAAAAGCAATCTTTTAGTGAATAGATGTTTTTCCTTGAGAAAAAAACAGTTTACTATTTGTTGTTATGATAAACAATTAATAGATTCATTTTAGATTACTGAAAAAAAACTGTTTGTTTTTATGTATCCAATAAACAAGATGTTTTGTCTTTCATTAATACTAACATACATAGAAATGGATCCTAACTGTGTGGATCATTTTTACATTGCCGAAAAAAAAATGTGATTATGCACTGAATCACATCCCATAATATTCTTTCATCAATCAAAAAATGAAGAATAATATACTTCGTGTTAGAGTCAATTGAAAAATCAAAATCCCGTGCGTTTGAATTCGGAGGAATATTCAATTTTCCTTGTTTCTATATGAATTGCGTGAGAATTGATTGATATATTGTATAAGCTATGAGATAAACTTGAATGCATATCTAATTTATATATGAACAAAATGAGTTAAATTATTTTCATTTTTACAAGAAAAATTTCATTTACGATTTAATGTTGATTATTATTTTTTCGAGTCTAATTTTTATGAGTCGATCGTTCAATATACTTTTCATCTTTAATCATTTTCTATATAACAAAAATGTTCTATTTGCGAATATATTTGTCTCTAAGTAACATATCAACAAAGAAAAAGCGTCTTTCTGACTGGATATGTGTTTCTAAAAAATAAAATAAAAGTTATGACTAGTTTTTCCATTATATTGATGAAATGTAATTTAAAAAAAAGCATACGCCACAATGACAAGAGAAAAAAAAAGAAATAGTGTTTATCGCTCAACAGTTTCTTCTTCTTTTATTTTCAGTTAAATTCATTTCATTAACTTGCAACTTAGTTAGGAATGCCTTCAAGAAGAATTTCTTTATGGATTGTTTTTATGATTATTACACAGTCAATTGGAGAAGATACACAATCAGTTCTAATGACTGTAATGAATGGGTGGAAATTTCAATGTGCTAATACAACATGTTTACCATTCGTTAATGTCATTACGTTGACTATTATGAAGTGTCAAATGGCTTGTTTAGTTCAAATTTATTGCAGAGCAGCCAGTTTTCATCAATTAACTTCTAACTGTGAATTATTTTCTGATATATCAAATGATATTGCAAATATGCTGACTGATACCGACATTACTACTGTGATTGTTATTGCTGGAACACGCTCTCCACTTGGTTAGTATGAATATAGTAGATTTAGAAAGAAATCATTCTAAAAGTATCGATGAAGGCATATCTGATAAAGAAAGATCCACAAAGTTGTCGATAAAATTAATTATCTAGGTTTGCTAAGTGCAGTATACCTATTTCAAATATGAAACAGTTAAATACTCTCATTGTGCGAGTAAAAATATATATAGTCAAAGCATTTTCTGAGAAATCTGCACGTATGTTTTGTTGTTTACCTCTCGAAAGTTTTTCAAAATCGTAGAACATTTTCATTCTGAATATTGTACATCTCGTTTGAGTCTGAATTCTCTGTATTTCCGTTGAATCTTCCTAGATTCCATGCATGAATCATATAAGGCCTCAAAATCGGTCCACTTTTTACTGATTCGGCTCGGTTCGATCCACCATCGGGCTTTGAATATTTTAAGTCCGTCCCGGCTCGGCCTGACAGTAACCAGAAAATTTTTTAACTATATATATGAAGTAGTTCACAAGAAATTCTGTTATCTTGCGATTGGAAAGAGCTACATTAATGGTATAACGTTATGTGAATCATCAAATTCTGATGATTTATTTTATTAAATGAGATATTTAAGTAACCAAAAAAACTTAACAACCAATACAGTACATATTGATAGTGTAATATCGATATGGAGTTGGGCGACCCATTTTGAGACCTGAATGATATGTATTCTGTATTGCCAAGGGTGTGGGTGCGAATTTTATGCTCATTACTATCTACACCTGAAACATTTTTATCGTAAAATGCTTCGAAATAATTTCAAGTTAATGCGAACCAAGAAAATTCGGCGAATACATCGAACACTCCTATATATCAATAGCATTTAGAAATATTCACGGTCTGCATATTCTGAATCACTAACTTGATGTTGACGAAACTAGTTTTAGAATATTTCAAATAGTGTCTGTGTTTTTCTGAGCCTCAATCTGTAGAAGAGATTTTGTTTCCGAAAAGGTAATATTTTTCTGCTAGTGATTTATTGATCATTTTCATAGTTAAATATAAGAGAATTTTTATATGATTAGAGCACGGAACGTTGCAGGGTTCAGGAGCTACAAAGTCTATCATGTTTTGCAGTGTATAATGCAGGACCCATCTTGAACGCCAGCTATATACTTTTACATTATCTCTGTACATGTAGAAGCAGGATGAGCCATTTTTATGATGCAGGACCTGTAGGGCACGGCAAAAATACATGATTCAGAAATAAATTAGCTACGCAAGTAACTTGGGATCGCGAAAGTGTTCGATACAGCGTGTATCAGCGAGGGTCAGAGCGTGGGTGAGAATGAATATGGATTTGAGTGTGAATGAAGGTTTGGGTAAGTTTAGGTGATGCGAGTGTGGTGCACGATTATAGAAAATGCATTAATGTTCGATTCACACTCACATCCTCAAACATACCCACACCCTCACACCCTTAAGATGGTTAACTCTCATTTTAAAACTACCTCTGCAAAATAGAACCGACTACAACATCAACAATAACAACTATTACTACCACAACAACAACAAGATCAACACCTACATCAACAACAACTACCATCTCTACTACTATCACAATAACAACTGCAACAACCACCACAACAACTACCACCTCTACTACAATAACAACCACAACCACCTCTACTACTACCACAACAAAAACAACTACCACCACCTCTACTACTACCACGGCAACAACCACAACCACCTCTACTACTACCACAACAACAACCACAACAACATCAACAGCAACAACTACTACAACAACAACTACCACCTCTACTACTACCACAACTACAACTACAACAACCACTACCACCACCACAACTACAATAACCACCACCACTACCACGACAACAACTACTACAACAACCACCACAACAACATCAACAACTACTACAACAACTACAACAACAACAACAACAACAACAACAACATCAACATCAACAACTACTACAACAACAACATCTACCTCGACAACTACCATAGCAAATCCATGTAAGTAAAAGATATTTTAGTCAGCTGTAATATAGTGTACTCAAAATGTTCATTCTTAAAAGAATTTGCAAAAATAACTGAAATTCTAATATGTAGTGCAATAGCTTTTAGGAATATAAGAAAGATTAGAAAAACAAGACGATGTTATTAAATATCGATATAATAATATTAAGATTATAATAAAAAATATCAAATAATTAACCATTCTTTTTCTGTTCATTATTAGGTATATCTGGTAACTTACTGTGGAATAGAACTGGTATTACTGTACTTAAATCAGTAACATCACCAATAGGCACCACTGGTATATTTCTTGACTCAAATGATAATTTATATGCTGTAGATGAGATCAATTCCGTTGTATATAAACTAGTAAAAAATGCTGTAAATGCAACAATTGTTGCTGGAACTTTTGGATCAGCAGGAACGAGTAGTACTCAATTAAGTGGTCCTAATGATGTTTATGTTGATAGATCTGGAAATATATATGTAACTGAGGTTAACAATAATCGCGTACAAAAGTTTACTAGTGGATCAAACATGGGCATAACGATTTCTGGCTTCTCTAATGGATCAGCTGGATCTGCATTAAATCAATTTATTTGGGCACGATATCTTACTTTTGATTCAACAGAAACATCTATGTATGTTGTTGATGAGATGAATCATCGAATTATGCATTATTCAACAAGTTCAACTTCAGGTGCTAATGGAAATCTTGCAGCTGGTGGAACTGGGGCTAACAATACAAATACAGCATTGAACGAGCCATGGGGTGTTCATTTTTTACCATCTATAAGTAATGACTTATTTATAACAAATGCTGGTGGACATTCAGTTATACATTGGACTCCTGGTGCTTCATCAGGCAGTTTCATTGCTGGTGTACCTGGTGCACCAGGTTCTGATTCAACTCACTTAAATACTCCGATAGGAATTAGGATTGATAATCATATGAATATGTATGTAGTTGATAGTGGTAACAGTAGGATTCAGTTGTTCTGTGCCAATACTAGTATTGGTTTTACCATCGCTGGTAATGGCAGTGCAGGTAGTGGTGCAACGCAATTAAGCGGTCCACGAGGTATTGCATTTGATTCAGCAATGAATATGTATATTGGTGATACAGGAAATAATCGAATTCAAAAATTTATGAAACTGTGAGATACTACAGACAAACTTCATATTTATCAGATTTTCTTTTTAAACTATTGCTTATGATATTTAATCTCATTGAACTTTTGCTTAAAATTGCGTAGAAAAAAGACATTTTATAACAAATAGTTATATACATCACAATTAATTTATACACGCATTATATTTTATCGCTTCACTCTTCTTTACAAGTATCTTGCTTATTTCAATAAAAATAAACAATATTAGAATCTTTATATCTAGATGAAATTGTATATCGTAATCAAATAGAATTCAGCATATATAAAACTATTCAGTTTAATTAGAGGATTTCATAATAAATAAATCATATTTTCTTCATCGCATTCAGATATGTTGACACTAATTATACTAATGTTTTTATTCGATTATTTTGTTTGGTATAGATTCTTATGAATTAGTTGACAGATATATTTCATTGGGAAAATCTTAATAATTTTCAATGTGATAAAAGAAGATAAAAATCCTTTTATATAATAATTATAATTTCTTGTTAATATGATACATATTTTTATAAGATTTTGTAAAAAGATTTTGAATAAATTATTGTTTTTTGAAAGTTATTGAATTAAAATGAAGACTATAGAAAAAACAAAAGACATTCGGTATGATTTAATATAATTATATATGAAATGTTAATTCGATAATAGATTTGATGTGTTTTTTTGATGATTTATTGTTTATAACTAATGTAGAAATTTTTGTTTTTTTATTAATCAAATGGATAAAATACTCTATGTTATCAAGATGCAAATGATTAGAATTTAAGTAGATATGGGCCTATACATATCAGTCTCTCAGCATTCAAACTCTCATCCTCAAGATGAAAGAAAGACTTATCCATGCCCACAACCACACCCTATTTTATTTTAATCATTAGTATATAAAATCGAAACACCCAAAAAAACATTCACCATCAATAACATTTACTTTGACGCATGTAAAAAAAACAAAGAAAAAAGAACAGAATCATATGACATAGAAAGCAACTACAATAAACACGTGACTCTACCATATATTTGACGTCTTTACATACAATGACAACATTTCGTATAGCAACAATTAATGTACATTCTTTTCGTAAACCTTTAACTGTTTCTTCTAATACCTTAGAATTAGTATCAATTCTTGAACCACTCAATCTCGATGTAATTGCCGTGCAAGAAATGCAAAATAATGATAGATGGATGGAATTTTATCAACGTCTATCTTTATCGTTTACGGCATATGGGCCATTGTATGGAACATTTTGTAATGGTATAGCATCTCGATATCCAATTCGTTGTTATGATGTAAAGAAAACAACGTTTTTGGGTGAAGGTGGCTACAGATCGATGCTTCGATGTTGTTTAAATGGCATTGATAATGTAACATTTGCTGTAACACATTTAGATTATATAAATGAAGATGATCGAATAAAACAAATGAAAGAATTTAATCCATATCAGCAAAATATTGATATAATTATGGGTGATATGAATGCTTTGACAAGAGAAGATTATTCTGATGATTATTATCGTGATATTATTGTAGACAAACGAGAAAAATCTTGTTGGGAGTCACCTCGATTTGATTTAACTCGATTAATAACACATGATTGGAATTATCAAGATGCGTTTAAAAAGTTAAATACAACATTGAACAATGAGCAAATAATAACCTGTCGATATGGAACACGTATTGATTATATCTATACGCATCCTCGTCTAAATGATCATTGGCATTTAACAAAATGTTCAATTATTGACACCAAAGGTGCGACTGATCACAACGCTGTTTTTGCTGAATTTACACAAGTATCGAAATAAAATCCTTCATAAACAATTAAAAAAGTTTAACCAAATTTCTATTCTAATAAAATAAGTTTTTAAAAACTTTGCATCTATATTTTCTCATAATAGAATAGTTTATTGTTTAGAATTTAGTGACGAAAAAATTTCTCTGCGTCATATCGAGAACATCACAATCTTTTTTTTGTGATGCTGTTGTTACAAGTTTCAAGATTTGTTCTTGCACAACACACATGTAACATCTTATCTATTTTTGTCATTATAAATACTCTCGCGTAAAACAATGAAAACAATCAACATGTTGTGTTTACTCTTACTACTCTTTGGATATGCATTATGCAATCAAACAACTATTCTTCAGTGTGATTTTGAAACACTATGTGATGATTTTGATATTGATAGTAATTGGGGTTTGACTGATGGTCTTCATCCTCAATCGATTAATCATGATCATACACTAAATACAAGTGCTGGTCATTATCTATTCTATACACCACAAAGTTCACCATTTCATGGAATCGATGTTACAATCAAAACAAAAGATTGGTTAGACTTGTCAGTTGATCGAGCTGTATGTTTTAGAATGTGGTATTATACTCCTCGTCTCAGTTTTCCATTTACTGTTCAACTTGTGCAAGGTGACGATGAGCAATTAACAAGAACAGTTGCATCAATAGCTGGTAAAGATCCAACAATCAATGATTGGACATTAGTTAATATAACATTACCAGCAGAAAAATTTAAATTATTTATTCGATTGAATGTGTCAGCTCGACCTTTAGTATTTGATGATATTTCTATTAGCTATTGTGATGCATTACCTCCTCCACCTCGGATAAACTTGTTTGCATGTGACTTTGAATCATCTTGTACTAATGATGTTGTCTCGTTACCAAATTATCCATATGAATGGTCGATTATGAAAGCAATCGATGCTGTTAAAGTAGAAAGTAAAGCACCTTCTACTGATTTTACATATGGTAATCAATCAGGACATTATGCATTTGTACCCAATTCAAAGATCATTGAACAAGGAAATGTTGGTTATCTTGCTACACGAACAGAGTTTGATATTACAGCTGATAAATCATTTTGTTTGAGCTTTCAATATTATGGTTTTGGTCAGCAATATGTTGGCAATTTGAATGTATATGCACACTTATCAGATACATTTCGAACAGTACAAAAGATATGGCCACCAAGATTTACCGAATATATGTATGTTAATGGAAAATATAAATAACATATATATGTAAATAATTTTTATTTGATTTTTAGATACACAAATGATAAATGGTAAGTTAATCTTTCATAGCTTTGAATATATTTATATTTTGTTTATATAGGACTTGGGGTATTATAAATTTACCAGTTGGTTATTATTCATTATTATTTCGTGTGGATAGTGTTAAGTCTAATCCACGTTCTTTTGCTATCGATAATATTTCTGTAACATCATGTGATTATTCTCCTACAACATTTCCTTATGATGGTAATCTTCTTTCATTTTCATGCAACTTTGATAATTTAACTATGTGTGAAATGCAGAATGGCGATCGTTATATTAAAGCTACATATAATTTCAGTGTTGTTACGGGTGATACTGTTCCCAATCGAGAATTAGGGCCAATACGAGATCATACTAGTAATTCGTCAACAGGTGGTTTTATCTATTGGAATCAACAATTACCTTTCATTCGTGGAGATTCCGGTGTTGTTTGTCCTTTGAATTTAGTAGAAATAAATTTAGGTATGTGTGTTCGATTTGCTTATTATGTTAAGTCATTAGCAGAAAATAAAAATGGAACGGTAGTAAGCTTATGGACAGGTTTATGTGATAGTCGAAGTTTGTGGGCTCGATCATTGGATGATAGTCAAGGATGGCAAATGGTAGTTGTACCTGTACCAAATATCGTCTGTCAAGGAACATTTTATTTCTATGCCCATCAACTACTAACAATTCCGGTCTCAGTTGCATTTGATGATATTGAAATAGGATCATGTGATATTCTTTCTCCAACGACTACAACATCAACAACTACAACTGTTACTACTAGTACTACAACTGAAACGACGACCACTATCAGTACTACGACTATATCAACGACTACGATAACGACAACAACAACAATATTGACAACGTCAACAATATCTACAAGTACATCAACACAAAGCAATAGTCACAGATTATTATCTTTTAATGAATTTAATTTGATTCTATTTTGTTTTTTGTTAGACATCGTTCAAAAAATCTTTTAAATATAAAATACTAATGATCTTATATGAATCAGAAAAGAAAAAGGAATCTTATTTAAGAATGTGAATGTGTCATTTTCATATTCGATGTCTTTCTTTCTTTTAGATATAGGCAAAAATACTGAAACGTAGTAGATGTATACTTTAGAAATCGTTTGTCATTTTATCTGGTGATAATTGAGGGTGGGTGTGGATGTGAGTGAGTGTAGGTGTTGTTTTTCTCTCACACCCACACCCACCATATATCTTTTACGTATATGCTTTTTTTAAGAATGATCCTGATCATGATCGATTGACTTTATGGCGTCAGCTTGGTCTTCTTAAATCATCGAATATTTCCTCAGATATAGTAATTGATTCAAGTAAGAAATATGAAATAATAAATTGCATTGAGTTTGCAATCAATTTTGATATATTTTTACTGACCTCCCTAAACACTCGTTTATTCTGTATCGTTTTGAATAAAAATTTAAAAAAAAAATAATTAATTTCTATATTAGTCTTGAGATTAGAGAAAAGTCAAATTATAGAGAAACCCAAATAGATTAATTATATCTAAAGTTTCTTAATCTTTAGTAGATTTTATTGATGAGATATGTCATTATTCTCTAAAAGATAACGATTTCAGGTAGTCTTTTAATATAAGATTTTTATTTTTAATCATCTGAAAAATTTATAAACGACAAGAGGAGAAGAAGAGTAGAGAACTAAGACATTCGATTTAGTGAGAAGAATTTTTTTAAATTTAATATTAACAATTTGATTCTTTATATTATATACAGTTTTTTTATTTTTTAGTTGATGTTAAAATATTAGGACTAAATGAAAAATTGTTTGATATATGGCTTAAAAACAATATTCAACAATTGAGCATTAATGAAGGTACTTTATTTCTCTACATTAATTCAAACAAAGATGATAATGATATCGGTAGAATTAATGTACATGATGATAAAAAAAAATTATAGGTATCATTTCGAACAAAATATCAAACCCACATGGTCACCCTAGTCAAAAAACGACGATAACGTAAACGATGTAAGAACGGTATACAACGATGCAAATCGGTGTTTTTGTGTCGCCGTACTCTGGTATCACAGAAAACGCTGACCGTTTAAGACGCCGTTTCCGATGGTGGGAATGATCGTCCTGGGTATGTATGTAATAATATACGACAAGTGCACGATAATACTAATGCTCCGACGGTGTGGCTGTGGGTGTTCCTTCTTTTATACCAGTCATACCCTCACCCACACCCCTTCTACAACAGACACTACTTGTACATATGATTAAGACTTTTTTAGTACCACCAATCATTATACAACAATGCTTATTAATATATTATATTATGATTTAATTCTTTCTATCAATTTTGTTTTTAACTCTATCACTGACAATAAAGCGGTCGTCGCATGGATGACTGACTGACTATCTTACTGACTCGCTGTTCATTTTCTGCATGATTGAGCAGTCGAATACGCGTAGCCCAGTGAAACTCGAATACCATCTAGTTATTTTTCATACTTTCAGATAATCAATTTAATTGTGAACAATTAACTTTGTTTTACTATGTCTAAAAAAATCATTCAATTGATGGATTTACCAGATGAGTTACTCCATTTCATTTTTCTAAAATCAAATAGTATTGACGCTTTTTGTTTTTTAACAAAAGTTAATCAACGAATTAGTAACATCATTCGTAGTCGTTATTTTGCCAAGCGTTTGACATTGTTCAAATACACATCAGATAATACTATCGAAGCATTGCATGAAAAACAATTAGATGAGTTCTGCTTCGATATTTTGCCCAAAATAAGTAATACTATTCAATGGTTGAATATTGAACATTCATCAATTGAACCTGTTCTCCTGTCGGTCAATTATCCTTCATTACATGGGCTTGGCTTATACAATATAGATGTGACTACTGCCGGTCAACTATTTCAGAGTGAGTAATGTAATTTTTTTTTATTTAATGCTATTATTAAAAAGTTATTATATTCAAAAATACTTTTTTTTTGTTATCTCTTCTATTAAAATTATCTTGTATCTCTAATTAGGAAAATCATCGGTTGCGCACAAAAGAAAAAAACAAATATTATATATTGGTATTGGTTTTGATGAAATCAATCAATCATGGAATTATCGTGATAGCACGATACTTTTTAGAAATTTAGTAGCTATATTCACAAATATGCAAGTACTGAATTATCGACAATCTTCACTTCGTTATGAATATATATCAATGGAGGGATTATCTAAAGTTTCATGTCCAAGTTTACTTCAGCTGAATATTGATATAGGAAATATTCATACACTTTATATCAATCTAGGAAGTATTAACTCACCAGAAATGACAAATATTGAAGTAGGTTGGTTGTTTTTTAAAACAAATGAATGAGGTTCTTTTCTAGAGTAAACTAATCAAAATAAAAAAAATTTCATTATATTGCAACAAATGCTTAATTAAATATAATGAATTAACTAAATTGATCATATACATACTCAATAAAATACCAAATCTTGAAAACATATCGTTACATATCATTATTAAAAATAACCCAGAAACCATTGATATTAATCAAACTAAAAATTTTATTAATCATGAATTATTCAACCTAAAAGAATACGAGATGGATATTCAGTTTTATGAAACTGTACCATTAGGTGATAGTAAAAAAAAAAATTTAAAATTTAAAAAAAATTGTGTTAATAATGCTCTTCCAGAACAATGATTCCTGACGCAGTATTCCGTGAGTATTCAAGCGGAACTCGCTGGAAAACCTGGAAATCAAGTGTAGACATCCGTCGATCGTATCTAGCTACCGGGTTCAACTGGCTCCTGTGGGTTTCGAACAGAATCGGATGAATCCGACGACGAGATCCCTTTGCTGGAACATCACGGAACCGGTCGCTTCTGTGCTGGATTGTTCGACCTCGGCCATGAGATACTATATTTAATTCTTATAAAATTAAATACAATTGACGCTTTTTGTTGCTTAACAAAAGTTAATCAACGAATCAGTAATATTATTTACAGTCGTTATTTCACAAAGCGTTTGACATTGTTTAAATGGATATCAAATGATAGTATCGAAGCATTGTATGAAAAACAATTAGATCAATTTTGCTTCGATATTTTGCGCTAAATAAGTAATACTATTCAGTGGTTGAATATTGAACAATCATCGATTGAACGTGTTCTCCTGTCGGCCAATTATCCTTCATTACATGGGCTTAACTTATATAATATAAATATGACTACTGCTGGTCAACTATTTCAGAGTGAGTAATATAATTTTTTTATTTAATGCTATTATTAAAAAGTTATTATATTCAAAAATACTTTTTTTTTGTTATCTCTTCTATTAAAATTATCTTGTATCTCTAATTAGGAAAATCATCGGTTGTGCACAAAAGAAAAAAACAAATATTATATATTGGTATTGGTTTTCATGATATCAATCAATCATGGAATTATCGTGATAGCACGATAGTTTTTAGAAATTTACTAACTATGTTGGGTGTGGGTGTGAGTGTTGTTCTTTTGTAACATCCACGCTCGTTTTGTAATCGATTTAGGACGTTTAAGACGCCGTTTTCGATGGTCGGAATTATCGGCCTGGGTATATTCAAATAGTTTAGATTTTCACTGAAATCATCCTAAAGGTACAGATTTTGGTCCTGGTGTCTACATTACAAAGAATTTACTTGATGCATTAATTATTGTAGAACGATGAATACTATTCCGGATACCAAATGAACCTGAAAATCGACCAACTTGCGTTGTATTTCAATGTCCAAAAGAAGAATTCGATCGATTTTTAATTCTCAAACTTCACAACAACAACGTCAATTTGAATCATGAGAGGCATGTGGGTGTGATTATCTAAACTCTCAGTCTACACCTATCTACACCCAACACACACACCCTATAATATCTCAACAGAAGTAAAATAATTATTATTGTTTATTCAAAAATAATTCTTTTATTTCTTTTAGAACCACCTAGCATGATTTAATAAATACCAATACTGAGTATGCATCTTTACCAACATTGATACTGGAAAATGATAATAATGATTTGTTTTTTATTATGTTATTCGAGCAAATTAAATGTATCAAAAATTTTACTCAGGTATATCATTTAATTATGGTAGAAAAAGATTTACCTATTTCATACTTGATAAAACCACTGGATCAACTACCAGAACTTGTAACTGTTAAAATTCATTCATTTGTAAGAGATAATCGAGAAATATTTAATTCTGAAGATTTTGATAAAGTTACTTTATTCAAAAGCCGCAGCAGAATCACAAAAATATTTATTGAAAAACTCAATAATATACACGAGTTCGGCTATATCATACTTTTATTTCCCAATTTTCAACATCTACACATGAACTACTTGAGTATACACTTTAAAGAATTTTTATCTGCAATTTTAAAAATCATTAACAACAATAAGAATGTTTTTATTAATACCATATGTTTGCACGTGCAATTAATAAATGATGAAATAACAAAAAAAATAGAAATAATTAAATCTGAAAAATTATTGAATGGCTTTCCCATTTAACTTTTACATGATATAATACTATTACAATGGAAATAACTTTAAAATATTCGTTGAGGGTGTGGGTGTGTATTGATTATAATATAACAGACGCTTATTCAACACCCACACCAGCAGATGGAATGGAAAATAAAAGGGTGTATGATAGATTTTGAACGTGCAATGATCAATTCGACTCAAGAAGCAGTAACTATGATTAAGATGTTTAATATCGGTAAGCTTATTTTATCTTTCATGTTTAGTTTCCAAACATTGATGTGAAAGGTTGTTAGTACCATTTTGTTCAAGCGTTATGGCGTAAAATCCAGAAAACTGGACTTACATCTTCATATGAAGTAGATCCATTAGTTAATACGTGGCTAAAGCAATTTATGGCATTGCCACTGATTTTAAAAGGATTAATAAATGATAGTTTACAAGTATCAAAAGATACAATTCCTTTAAATGATACTAAATATATTAAATTCTTGAAATATTTTGAGAAAGAATATATTAATCGTACATCTGTAGAATTGTGGCATCATGGAAATAATGATATGAAAACAAATAATTCTCTTGAAGGTAAACGAATTGATTACATTTCCGTACATTTTTCATTCAATTTTTAGGTTATAATTTTCGATTGTTAACACGGTTTGGATTACATCCTTTTATTTGGGAATTTTTACATTTTCTTAAAGACGAAGAAGCACTAGTATCGCACAGAATTACACAATTGAGTGGAGGAAGTGGAGTTACCTCAAACATATTAATTTATTCAATTATGCTATCTAGAAGAAGGGCAGACAAAAATAAAAAAACATTTATTAAATTTGGAACATTTATTTACTTCAGAATCTATTGATTTAAAAGAATATTTGAAATCTACTTCATTCATGGTTGGTAAAATTGAAAGACAAAATATAACGGCAATTAATGCTGATTAAACAGTTCAAGATGGATATTTACTCGGTGATAAGGATGAAGATGATTAATAAAAATCATTAATAATTAAAAATGAACTTATTTAAATTTTCTCATGCCACTATCACAGCTTTTTTTTTCAAATAAAAACAACCAGAAGCATCAGCTAAAAAATACAATTAATTACTACAATTGGTGAAAAGGTATCGCAGATATATTTTATTTATTGGCGAATATACCATTGGCGAAAATGAGTATTGGCGATAAGACACTAGGTCTTAATAAATAATAATCAAAATCTTCGTAACAACATGCTATTGACTATACTAAATTTAAATTTTTTCAATAGTCATGTACAAATTTTATTAACTAATGAATAGATTCATATACAAAAAAAAACAACAAATATTTCTAATAGTTATGTAATTTCCATTGTAAACAGATATTATCTCCTACACGTTTAATTGTAAATTTATCAAATAATTCTTCATATTTAATTATATTTCGTAAATTTTCAATCATTTGATCACCATTGACTAATGGTACATCAAAACATAATGAACGAATAGAACATATATCATTATTACCAATATTTTGTAGAAGTGTTCATAAAAATAATTCAGTATTCTTATTTAAACGTTTCATTTGTAAATGTTTCATATGAGGAAAAATCCAGATCCAACAATCCGGCATGGAAACTACCGATTCCGTGATATTTCGGAGATTTCATGAAATACTGCTTCAGAAATCATCGTCCAGGATATAAGTTTGTGTGATGAATCTAATACGTTTTATTTGTCCAAAAAATATTGCAAAATATAAATCATTATTATCATTTTCTAATATCAATGTTCGTGAAGATGCATACTCAGTATTGCTATGTATGAAATTATGCCAGTTGGCTCTAAAAGAAATAAAACACTTATTTTTGTACAGACAATATTAATCATTATACTTCTGTGGATATATCATATATTTGATAAGTAATCCAATAATTTTCATACTTATAACTAATTTTTGTTTAATCTAAAATGTTGAAGAAAACGAATTTCCGAGTCCAGAATAGAGTGGCTGTTGACTATTCCTGGTTGGTGGAAAAGAATATTCTAAGTAAAATTTAATCAGTTTTGGGAAGTACTTAGATCAACCATTTAAACTATCTGAAACGGCGTCTTATATAGCATGAAACATTAGATTGATTTTACTTTGATATACAGTACTTTTCAAAAACACTTGGCCTCTAAGTTCCTACTGCCTTACTTTCCCAACATAATATTTTTGAGAAAGTGATTACACTGTTAGAAAGCCTGAAAAAATTTAGTATACAAAGCCGTATTTCAAAATTTTATTCGTTCACCATTAGAAGAAATAACAGCCGCACATCTATCTTTTATGGAATTTAAAAAATCAATTAGAAAACTTAAGTCGGTCTTTTTCGATTTCCTCGCTCAAAACTTCTTTCAGATCATCAATATTTCCGGGTTTTCTTTTTTCAACACATCATTTGATAACGTTCCAATAATTTCCAAGAGGATTTAGATTCAGTGAATTCGACGGCCTCTTAAGCAATTGAGGAACCTTGTTCTTGATGAATTCTTTAGCAACAACCCTCGTATGTTTGGGGTCATTATCTTGTTGAGATCGCCGCCGCTCTTTGAATTACATTATGGCACCTGGTAAAAGATGGTGTGTAGGAATATCGCCAAAATTAATACCATCGCGATAGTCATAGTTAAATAATATGATAAACTAAATGGTCGAAGATGAACTATCTTTTTTTTTACAAAAAATCACGGCTATTTTTAGGGGGGATGAACAAAGAAAAATAACCAAAGAAGTCGAGAAACTTCTTCTCCTTAGCTGTTAACAATGGCAAGAATAATCTAGGTTGACAGAAGTAGGTCGCGAAAGGAGAATAACTGATAAAGAAGAGAACAGAAAGTAATGATGTTAATCATATATAACGAGGACAATATGTAACAGTCATCGAAGATATAACTGAGGAAAAAGTTATCTAAAACAACTGGAAGAAAATATTCTTAAATTGATATTTTTACCTCAGAGTATAAGGAACTACTTATGAAAACGGCGAGTCAATAAGATTAAAATCAGCAATGAAAATCACTATATACGAAAATCAATTTTAGGCCAAGTTTTTTTAAAAAGTACTGTAATTGTATATTGCTTCAGCTCGCTATTTCCCCTTTTTTCTCTTTTATATATTTAAAGGAAGTTAATAGATAATGAATTTTTAAGCAATCATTGAAGAACAAGTACTAAAAAATTTCGAAAGAAGCTATCTATGTGGTGAGAAGTATAGATGTTTGCTTGTATTTTGATGATTATAGATGAATTTATTAGTTCAATAATTTTTATTAAAGATTTGGTGAATAAAACTTGTTCTAAAATATTTGATTATCTTGATAGTTATGATGTAGTTCAAGTATTTTTCAATCTTAATTATCAATTTCAACGGGTATATTTCATTATTCATTTTTATTATTGGGGGAACGGCGTGGGTGGGCATGGGTGTGAGTGTTGTATTTTCTCGCATCTACCCACACCCACACCCACACCCAATAAGTTCTGATACATTCTGAGGGGCTGCACTGACAAGCTGTTTATAAAAGCTTCATGCTGAAACGGTATTTCAGATATTCAACTATAATTTATTCAAATGTATCACGGTGTTCATTTAGTTTTTTCTTCTCACGATAAATCTGAGGCGATACTTGTTAGACAACGATATCTTCTAAAATGCTTTTATTTTCCTCTATAACTAAAATAAATATTAAAAAAATTGAAGTAATGTTCCAATGAAAGCTTTTATTTAATTATATTTTAATGTAACAGAAAAAAAGGCAAAAACTTAATCAATATAAATGAGAAACCTTCCTGGTGGAATAAGCTCGTAACCTTCGCCATATATAATCGGAATAAGGAATGTTTTAGGTGCATTTTTAATACGAGTTGTTGTTAATATTTGTTTTTCTTGAAAATTATTAATATTAAAATGAAATTCTTTTGGTGATAATGTAAAACAATCCATACATTCAGTTGTATTCCATTGAACACGAACAGTACCATTTCCGTTAATTCGATGTGATGGATTAGAAAGGGAAATATAAAATTGTGTAGTTTGATGCAATTTTATCGTTGTAAATTCTGGATAATACGTAAGCCCAAGATCAAGATCTTCACAGGCGATAGATCAATTCTTGGGAATTGAATTAAAATATTTGTCATCTGGTTTTCCAATTGATATTATATTATAGTTTGTTGTTGTTCATATAAATCTATATCCTCGAGGAACAATTTGACTTAATCGTAAAGGAATTTGTGTATTTTTTTTTTAAATAAATTTCTTGACATGGATATGTACTTCCATCATACTTCCAAAATGTTGCATACATACAAGATTCGAGTGATGAATAACCTAACATCAACTGAACATAATATTTTGATTGAGGAGAATTAGGACTTGCATATGGAAAATGTTGCAAAGCATAAGATATTTGTGATACTGGAGAAAAGCTAAAAGTAACTGATTGATAAGCACATTAATTTATTTCATCAATTGCAATTATTGTTTGATCATTATCAAGAGAAAAAACAATTTGAAGAGGAAAATAGGGTTGGACAGATTCTTCCGTATAATAACATAAAACAAAGATTATTAAATACAAATATATTTTCACTATTTCAGTGAATCGTCATCAAATGATGAGTTAAGAAGGATTTTAAAAAAATTAATAGTTAATCTATGTATTGATCAATGTAAACTTGGTTTATTTTAACAAAAAATTAAATAAGCAATTTTTGCAAAAAACTAGTTTGCGAATGCTGGAACATAAAAATAAAATCTATGATAATCGACGTCATCACAAAACACATGGAATTTCATCTTCGACTTTGCCATAAATATTAATTTCGCTTGTGTACAATAGTCCATATAAATCAATTGTATTCTAAAAAACAAAGAATACTAATGAAAATAAAATATAACTTTGCTTTTTGAATCGATTGAACATGAATATTAATAGTTTTTAGGTTTTAAGTTAAAAAAGCACTGTTAATTGATAGGAATTTTCAGTACAATGACCTTCAGAGAAGATGTATCCGATCCACCGCAAAGTGCATTTCTCTTACACATGTTTAACTGTACCTTCTCTCTCTTTTGACGAAGAAGTTCCATTTAATTGTTCAGTTAATACTTTTTCTTTATAAAAATCACGATAAAAAGCTTTTACACATTTGTACAGGGTGGCCCAAAAGTCACCGATTCATTTTCGATCGTGCATAACTTTTGATAGAAACACGATAGAGAACTGCGTTTTTCACTCTTGGATAGAAGAGATAAAGCTGCATCGAAACATATATAATTTATTTTCTTCAAGATTTTTTTAAAAGTTTCTTCAATCAATACTCAAAAAGGGTGT